CCTCTGTTTTTTGCATGTTTTGTTGGAACCGGAACAGTTTAGAGAGTATAATGTGACAACTCTGGAGATTAGATCCTTCCCCTCTTCAGGGTTTCTGTTTGCTGAGGTTTCCTTAGTGACTCTCTGACTTAAGCTTGAAGTATTTCTCATCTTTGCCATGCATGGTCGTAAAGTATTTCCTTGGTTAACTCGGTGGTCAATGTGTTACTGGACTGAAGATGTCTGGAATCAGTTAATCTCCCATTGGTGGGATTCTCTGTGTATAGGATGTGCTTGGAACACTTAGCTAGGCACTTAGTATGGGACTTGCTAGCCTTGGCTCCCTGCTTGCACAGAGCCTCAAGGTCAGTCAGAGGTGAGTGCTCAGGGCTTGTCAGGCCTTTCCTGAGCACTGCACTTCCCTGCTCCCTTGGAATGGGTGGCCTTCCAGCTTCCCAGGGATTTATTGGAAGTTTTTTAAGTTTCCTGTGTACTTCTGCCTCTGAGCTTTTCATTCTAGGTTTTTTGTCCTCAACTTTTAATCACCCCTTGGGCAACTGCCTGAATTATTACATGTAGTTGTTTTCAGCAATAGCCTCTGGGGAAAGGCTCAGAATAAAGTCAAATAAAGACAGCTTCCCAAGAGGGACCTTCCAGGGAGCTACTGGAGGGAAAAAACAGAGAACGTTCTGGAAATAAGGTTTTGAGAAGGCTCCAGTCCCATGTTTATCCAATGCAGAGGCTTCAAGATTGTAGTGTCACTATTAATGGAGAGGAAGTTTGGGTCTGAGGTAGTTAAATGTTTACCACCTTCCCTGTTTTCTTGACACAATAGCTTCCCTTTTACTGTTGCAAGTCTTTGGTTAATTTCCAGAGGACCAAACTCTGCCTAGACATTTCTTACTTTTTTTTTTTTTTTTTTTTTTGTGAAACAGAATCTATGTAGTCCTGGCCAGCTTGGACCTTGCTGTGTAGACCAGGCTGACCTTCATCTCACAGAGATTGACTTGCCTTGGCTTCCTAAGTGACAGGTCCAAAGGAAACCCAATTCCCCAAGCTCCAAAAGGCAGTCCAAGCGTCCAGAAATGAGTTCAACATGAACTCTAGGAGGATTTCTGGCATCTAGATAAAAGGCAGCATTCCTGGGGGGTCTGTAAAACTGGTTCTCTTCTGCCCAAAGGAGTCATTTCCCTCACCTCTGCTGGAAGGGACACATGGCTACCTGTGGTTGTTCTCTCTCTCATATCTATAACAAAAGCCTTCCCCTTAACCATACTGTGTCATCAGTCTATATACCATGTGCTGGCCCTGTCCAGACTTTTTTCCTTTTTTCTTTTTCTTTCTTTCTTTCTTTTTTTTTTTCTTCTTCTTCTTCTTTTTTTTTTTTTTTGTCAATTTTCTTGCTGCTTTGATGGAGAGAATTCTCAGTCTCCCTCCCCCTCTCCCTCCCCCACTCTCTCTCTCTCTCTCTCTCTCTCTCTCTCTCTCCCTCTCTCCCTCTCTCTCTCTCTCTCTCCCTCTTCTTCTTTTGTTGAAGTCCTGGCATCTCAAGTCAGATGTGAAGAGACACTGTAGCAAATGCTACTAGAGATGGTCAGGCCCCACACTTTATTTTCTGTTCTACCATGGGGCTCATGAGAATTTTGTGAAATGGGGTTCTTCTTTCACCTTTACATGGGTTTAGGGGTTGAACTCAGGTCACCAGGTTTTGGCAGTCCTTCCCAGGTCCACATTTAAAGGAGGCACAGCCCAGTGGAAGAAGAAAAATCTGTATTAAAGCCACAGAGCATCAGCAGGTCTTCTCCAGACTGTCACACGCCTGGCCTGGCCCCCTGCAGGGCGGTTGTTACTGTGCTGACTTGGGGGTGGGGTGGGCGTGTGTTCAGTGTTCCTTCTGGGGATGCACGGCTACAGTGCTTACGCTCACACACGGGAAGCAGCTGGATATGACCCCACTTGCATTAGCTCAGAGGGACTAAGGCAAGCAGACAGGGATGGGTGGGTGCTATGGGTGCTTGGGCTTCTCGCTCTCTCATTTTCTTCTTAGGTGTTTTCCAAGAAAGCAAAGGCCACAAGGCTGAGCTCAGGACTTGGTTACTGGATATAGTTCAGGCCCTGAGTCAGAGGTGTGATTTGAAATCTGACCTAGAATAGTGACATGGGAGACAGGAAAGGAGAGGCCAGCGTGAAGGAGGGGAGCCGTTGGGCAGCATTGCCCTGGAGGACAAGTTCCTGAGCTGGCCGGGCCAGCAGCCAACTTTGTAGCCCAGCTGCCTGCATAACTCCTAAAGTTGTGCCTGGAAGCCCAGTCTAGAGTCTGCCTTCAGCCTCTGCGAGCACTTAACACCCTGCAGCAAAACTCAGGCTGCTTACAAACCTGGAAGGATGTCCCTCTCTGCAGGAGATGAAAGTAAAAACACTAAGGGGGTAAAAGGCTAGTGTGAGTCCTCTGGGCTGGGATGGCTGCAGGGCATGAAACCACTTTAGGGGAGCTCTCTTTAGGCAGAGGGACTACAAGCAAATACCCAGTGCTGGGAATGCTCAGTGCCTAGCAGAAAGGGGAGGGGGAGCTCACAGGAGAGCCAGTCTGGTGGCCCCATTCTGGGGACGCTGTCTAAGGGTGGCAGCAACCTCCAGAAAGTATATGTACACAGAGCACAGATCATGGCCCCGGCTGGAGCCAGCGAGCAAGACTTGTGGCTCTGTGGGGCTGGTGCATGTGGTATCTGAGGGTGAGTTTTTAATTCCCAGCAGGGGCACCTGGCAACCAGCCCTGCCTGAAGCCTGTGTGCACACAGGAGACAGCCACCCTGTGGGTGGGGATCCCAAGCTTGAGTCAGAAGATGTGGCTTGGGAGCATGTCTCTGCCCGGGTCAGGCCTAGGGGCCTGTGCCACACCTAGGGAGGGTTGTAGGTGGGCCCTGAAAGAGCCATTGTTAGGCCATGGCGGAATCCTTCCCATGTCCCATCATGTTCATGAAACTTCTAAGGCATTTTTCCTCCCCAAGGGGACACTGCCACCACTAAAGGGAGTCTTGCCTGGCCATCCTCCTGCCCAGCCCTCCTAGGGCAGCCTTGGCTTGGCAGCTGCAACTCTGCTTGTAGGCAACTGTCTTTGGCCCATTCTCATTGCACAAATCAGTGGATCCCCAAGCCACACAGACATCGTGGACTGGAGGCTAGAAAAGGAGCCCCCTGCTGCCCTGGGCTGGGGCTGTTAACTACCATCTTGCCCCATGGAACAGAGTGAGCCTTAGGGCCTCCAGCTGGGCATGGGGCAGGAGCTGGACTGAAGTTGCCACAGTGACTCCTGGCTGGGCAGGAGTCATTTTCTATCCTCTTCCTAGGACCCTAAACTCCTATTAGTGGAGACTGGCCTGGCTGGTTCTAGGTACAGCCCTGTAGCTGATACTAAGGACCTCCCCACACACAGGGGAGTGGGATATGTTTATCTTCATGTGCATACTCCATCCACCTGCTTAAAAAGCACAAGGAGTTTTGCCCCCCTTCCAAGTCCCTCTCCAGCAACACTGAGCGTCCTGGCCCCTGCAGCATCTCTTGAGCAACACTGTGAGTGTCCTGGCCCTCTCATCCCATGTAACTCTTGTCAGAAGTGAGAAACTGGATCCTGTGACAAGCATGGTCTACAACTAGTTCCAGAGCACAAGGCAGGTAAGGGGAAAAGAGGCCTCCAAGTCAAAGGTCAGTGTTTGTGTGTAGTGATAAAGATCCTTCACAAGGTCAAGTTTGGCTCATAAGAGCATCTGTCTACCTCTGTGAAGGGACAGTGGAATTTTTCCTTGGTGCCTACGGGCACTTTTATCTAAAAAAGCAGAAGAAGTTCCTTGTTCTAATGTCCTTCCAGGCTGGATTACCTTCATGGCTTCATTCTACACCCTTATCAAATGAGCTGTAGTAGACACAGCGGCCCAGCCATCTTCTCTCAGGAGTGTGTATTGCTCACAAGCCATGCCACATTTTTAATCAATTTGTGAAATATATCTTCTCAGCTTAAGATGTTGTGCAGTCTCTGTTGACACAGAATAGCTTTGCTATTTTAAGTGAGTTTTGTTTTCTTTGCACTTGCTGTGACTTGGTAAGCACGTCACGCTAGAACCCACAGACAAATGCCTCAGGTGACTTGGTGACCTTAGAGCCTGGAAGCCAGGGCCGGCACACCGGCCACAGCTTCAGAAGGACTGGAGCAGTTTGTCTTTGGCCTCTAGGCCTGGAGCCTAGATGCTGTGTTCACGGCTGCCGACTCTGTGGCTGCGACATTTATTTGAAATGAGGGTGAAGTCATTTGCTTTGTTTGCATTCTAGCCTTGCTGCTTCTATTTATTCTCTCTCACTGTCTGTCTGACAGTGAGACATTAACTTGTTCCAAAACCCAGAATGTGTTTTGGATCAGCTCTCTGGATATTTTGGTGTGTGTGGGGGGGGACCCAGCAGAGGCTGGGTAAGATGTCCCCCTTCTCCTTAAGTATTTTCCTGACACTGAGCTGCAGTAAAGTCAGAATCTACAACCCAATCCAAAGGAAGGACAGTGGCCTGGAGGTGAGGAGGAGTAGGGCCCTGGACACCTGAGCAGTGCAGATTTCCTTTGGCCAGCAGTATGGCCCTTTACTGTTGTGTAGTCCAGACCCTGATGAGAAAGAAGCTGGCAGAAACCCAGAGCTCCAAAGCCAGCTACAGCTTAGCTGGTGACCTGGGGCTCTCAGCACCTCCCGCAGCCACTTGTCAAGTGGCAGTCGTGGGCCACGTTCTGGTTACATCTGTGGCAGTTCAGACAGGCACCAGTGTGGTCGCTGGGCCCAGACTCCTATCCTCGAACACAGAGCTCCTTGCAACAACTACCCAGAGGAGGAGGGAGGAGGGAGGAGGGCGGGGAGAGAGGGAGAGAGAGGGAAAGACAAAGAAAGGGGTGGGCAGGGCAGCAGCTAGCTCGAGGGGGCGGAGAGTGAGCTCAGCCTGAAGCAGGTCACTGCATTCAGAGCCTGGAGGGTTGAGAAGAACAGCTCCTGCTAAGCAGAAAAGTCTCTTCCTTCCTTCCTTCCTTGTCTCAAGTCTGCTCTGCCAGTTTCTGGGGCCCAGCATTGAGGCAGAAGACAGGAAGAGCTGGGACCTCTCTGTTGGCCAGAGCCACTAATCTTGGGCATAAATAGGATCTTGGGACCAGTCCTCCAGCTGACAACCCGGCAGCCTGCTTCTGCTGCTCCTGCCAGGTGAGTGAGGTGTACACATCCTAAGAGGGCCTGGGGGCTCCTGGACCAGGAATCTGTAACACTCCAGAGACTACCCTGGGTGCAGGGCATGACCTGAGCTTTGCTGACCAAGTCACATGCATGGCTAGTACGTGATGCGTATGCACCAGGCACACTTCACAGTGTTGAAGACACACAGCACGGAGCATCAGAAGTTGTGCGGCTCCTGCCTGCCGCACTTGGCAGAGATAACTGTAAGATGCTGAGGCTCTCTCTGCCTGCAAGTTACAGGGAGGTTCTTGTTGACAGGCAGTGAAACTAACCATATACCCTGTAACCTGGTGACTTTCTCTTGTCTGGATGGAATCTGGAAAACTCTCAAAGGAACATTTTGGGGATCCAGGAGTTACTTTGCAGGCAGGCATCTCACCAATCTGGGAGTTCATACTGTTCTCTGCTGGGACTAGTTGGGCAGGGACCTCTTGGGACTAAAGGTACCAACACTTCTCTCTCTCTACTGTAGGTGATGGAAACCGTGAGTTTTTCCCTGGGCAGAGCGCTTTGGACCTTCCTCCTGGCCATGCTAGGCTCCGCCACAGGCCAGCCGCTGGGGGGAGAATCCATCTGTACAGCCCGGCCCCTGGCTAGATACAGCATCACTTTTACTGGCAAGTGGAGCCAGACCGCATTCCCCAAGCAGTATCCTCTGTTCCGGCCACCTGCACAGTGGTCCTCTCTGCTGGGTAAGGGCATCTCTCCTCCTCTGCCCCACCCAGGAGGCTACAGGGCAGGAAGCTGGACCTACTGAACTAGTGGCTAGTGGAGGGCAGAGTGGTCGCAGGAAGGCTGGTGGGACACCAGTCACCCAGCCAGGTGTGTCCCAACAACCTAGCCTCTCCTTATTAGGACTGGATGTGGCTCCTTGCCATTCAGCCAGGAAGCTGAAATTTGGGGGGGTGGCATGGTGTCCACTGGGGGGGGGACAGCCACGCGGGTTTGACGTCTGTAGCCCCCATCACTACCTGTCCCAGGTGGCCACTCATGCAGTCAGGCTTTTTCACAGGGGCAGCTCACAGCTCTGACTATAGTATGTGGAGGAAGAATGAGTATGTCAGCAACGGGCTGAGGGACTTCGCTGAGCGCGGTGAAGCCTGGGCTCTGATGAAAGAGATCGAAGCTGCAGGAGAGAAGTTCCAGAGTGTGCATGCGGTATTCTCAGCCGCTGCTGTCACCAGCGGGACAGGGCAGACTTCTGCAGAGGTGGAGGTGCACCCTAGGCACTCGCTGGTGAGTCACTGCTAGCAGAGGAGAGGGTGTGTCCTGAGGCTGCAGCTGCTGAGCCTTCCGGTCCCATCCAGGTGTCCTTCGTGGTACGAATTGTCCCCAGCCCCGACTGGTTTGTGGGCATTGACAGTCTGGACCTGTGTGAGGGAGGACGCTGGAAGGAGCAGGTGGTCCTCGATCTTTACCCTCATGATGCAGGGACAGACAGCGGCTTCACCTTCTCCTCCCCCAACTTTGCCACCATCCCACAGGACACAGTGACCGAGGTAAGTGGTCCATGCCCTTGCCCCGCTGCATAGTCACCCCCCCCCCCACTGCATAGGCAGCTCTGGATTCTGAGTTGGGTGGAACAAAAAGAAGGGGGCTGGCCTGGTTGTGAGGATTTGTGAGGACAGGGAAAAGGCTTTGGCTTATCCTAGGCGAACTTCTAGCCACCCCAGGCTTCAGCTCCTCCTGAGAAAATAATCCTGTTTCTGGTGGCTTCTGGTTAAGAGTGGAATGTGGCTCTGCCTGGGATCTGGCAGTACTATAGAGAGAAGAGCAGGATACGGGGGGGGGGGGGGGCTTGCACGGTGCTTCCCTTCCAGTGAGGAGGTATATGCATACAGTCCTGCCTGGTGGGCAACCAGGAGCTCTATGGACAAGTGTTCCAGCTGAGCTACAGTATTGCCTCTAGGAGACAGAAGGAATGGCCAGTCTTCCTCAGTCTTGGGAAGAGGGTATGTGGGCACCTCCAGCTATGCTGGCTGGGCTTGAGAGCCACTCCGATGAGACCCAAGTTGGGAGTATTTGCTGGCAATGTATTGCTTGATGCTGGGTACTGACACTTGAAAGTGGGACTCTCAGAACTCTGTGCCAGCTCTCCTTTTCCGCCATCCAGATAACCTCCTCATCACCCAGTCACCCAGCAAACTCATTCTACTACCCACGCCTGAAGTCCTTGCCTCCCATTGCCAAAGTGACCTTCGTGCGGCTTCGGCAGAGTCCCAGGGCCTTTGCCCCACCTTCCCTGGACCTGGCCAGCAGGGGCAATGAAATTGTTGACAGCCTCTCAGGTAATGTCCATGTTTTCCATCTTCTGCTGACCCCGGGTAGACAGGCTGGAGAATGTGCTGGAGCTTTTGTATCGCTTCTCCATGTCGTCACTGGCTGAACTGGGGTGAGAAGACACAACTGAGTTTGTGCCCTGGAGCCCGTGGGCTATATGCCATCCAAGGTCATACACTAGATCCTAAAGCCCAGCATAAGGCACAACATGTGAGCTCCTTCCATCCCAGGTTAGCCCTTGTCTATAGCTGAGTCTACAGAATCTCCCAGGCTTCCAAGGTCACAGGAAATGAGCCAGAGCAATTTCAAAGGCGGATTCTCGTCACTCTTTAGGAGATGGTATTAATTTTTAAAGGTTTAGGATTTGGTGGATTCAAAGACTGCAGATAAAACTTTGACAGTCTCTACTGTTGAAACACCCTGAACAATGGAAAGGGACCCTAGTTATAGTTAGGGGGCAGTAAAGCATCAGAAATGCACTCAGAGACCTGAATGTCACAGCCCAAGGGGATGGAAGGGAAAACTCACTGAGTTAGGTTCCGACTGTGCCTCCACTGGAGACAGCAGAGGGCATTGGCTGGCGGAAGCATGGCATTCGTGACACTCCCATGGGGGCTTGGGCCCTGCCTGGCTGTGGCCAGTGCAGAGTTCCCAATTCACAGGGCCAGTCTAGGCTTCTCATCTTTCCATAAACAATTTGAGAGTCTGCGAATAGGTAGGTATTCATTCCTCAGGGGCATCAGCCGGAGTTGAGAAAGCTGAGCATTGAGGATGAGAATCATGGTCCCCTCACTGCACAGCAGCCTCCAGACAGTCAGATGTCCAGCGGCCCTTGCATGAGGAAGGGCACAGAGAATGACTGGGCCCTTTGAGGCTGTGTTGGCTCAGCAGCCAACTCACTTTCCTGGCCACTTGGGATGGTGTCTGTCCTGATGCATTGGCCAGGCCAGGGTCAGGCAGGAGGATGGGCATGCTGACGGGCTGGCATGCTGACGGGCTGGCATGCTGACAGACATTTGAGGTGTGTATCTCCGGCTCCCATTCTTGATGGACAGTCCTGCAAACACTGGACAGTGGCATCACCCGGACAGACAGTACAGTCTTGTGGGAAGAGCTACTTGCGGGCAGGCCACCGGAGAGGTCCTTTTACCTCACCGTTGGGGCGGTTAGCCACCCACTCAGGCCTGGGGAGGTAGCGTGCTGGGAGTGCAGGGGACGCAGCAAAGCAAGCACAGCAGGTTGGGGATGACGAGGGAGGGAAGAGTGGGCGTGGCCCTCCGCTCTGGTGGGGGACCACGTCTCTGCTGACAGGGAACTTTAGGGATTTCTACCTGTAGTTCCGCCTGGATGGTAGAGCCAGCCGAGCATTTCCTTACCCAGGACAGCTGAGAAACAACATGCTTGATTGTCCTAAGGTGTCCCCTGTCCTAAAAAGCCATTGCCTGTAGCTAGGGTTTCTCAATCCGCCCACCTGATGTGTTCTTCCTAATCCCCTCATGTCCTCATGACTGCCAACTGCCAGGAGGGGCAGAATGCCCAGCACAGCCGGCATGAGCTTTTCTCGCTACATTTGGGTCCGCAACAGCAGACCTGGGGTCAGTGTATCCAGGACGCTCCCACCAGGTCCTGCCTGTACCTCCCTCACTTTTGACCACACACAGTTTATCCTGGGTCTGCTCCTCGAAGGGAGCCCCATTTGGGAAGCTCCCTCTGCAGACCAGGGCTGCTGCAAGCATTCCCAGTCAAGCTAGCCTTGGCTGCTGCTTCACTATCAGGAAGCTGGGAAGGATGCAGCCTTCTAGCCCTATCTGGAAGATGGGGACTCATGTGTCTCATCCAGGCTGGCTAGAGCCCTCACTCTCAGGCAAGGAAAAATTGGGTCTGTTCATCTTTCCAAAGGGTCTTTGTAGGCCCTGTTCCCACCCTTTCTTCTGTGGAGACTTGCTGCATCTACTAGAATGTTCCAGGTACCGTATCTGACATCTGCAACCTCTGTGTTCCTTTCTGAATTCTACCAACATCTGCCTTGTTTCTTGGAGTCCCACAATTGATTGCAGCAGCACAAGGACTCCTAAAAATGGGGTCCTGCCCTGAGAGCGGCTAGCCTGGTTGCTACTGCCAGTGCCACACTGTCCTCTCGTGACTCCTGCAGGTGATTGTCCTTGCTGGCTGACTGGCTGGTTTAACATGTTGTGGATATAGGGACATTTGCATTATGCTCTGGGAAATGGAAATTACCAGGTTGTTTAGCCATAACTCCAAATTGATTGTTTTTAAATTTGTGAATGTGATAGAATCAGAGGGGACATAATAAAAAGCACATGATTGAAAATGTTTGAGCCTCCGGGAGGAGTAAGGTCCCACAACCCCGAGGGTTTTCTGGCATTCGTAGGACTTCAGAAATGTCAGTTATGAAGGTCACTGTGGCCAGAGAGCCACCTCCCCTCAGAGAGGTCCTCACTGTTGCAATGCCTCTTCCATAGCTGGTAAGAGACCAGGACTCACGCTGCCACAGTCACCGACGGTTTCGCAAAGGATCAACTCCAGCCAGGCATTTGGTTGTTGCTTGTACCTGTATCAGTGATACCCATCATGCATCTTGTTCTACACTCCTGAGAAAAGCGTTTCTCTCAGCCTTTGGAACAGAGTTGTCTCCTGGGATGTGTGCACATGTGGAGATAATCATGTCTGCTTTTATTAAGCGTCTCTTTACAGAGTACTCATTGGGTTTCCCCTGTGTTTTGTCCAGTTCCAGAGACACCGCTGGACTGCGAGGTTTCCCTGTGGTCGTCCTGGGGACTGTGTGGAGGATCATGTGGAAAGTTGGGAGCCAAGAGCAGAACTCGTTATGTCCGTGTGCAGCCTGCTAACAATGGGACCCCTTGCCCCGAGCTTGAAGAAGAGGCTGAGTGTGCCCCTGATAACTGTGTCTAAACCCAGAGTCTAGCAGCCAGCCCTTGGGGTCCCTCAAGCCTTGGAATCAGACCTGGGCCACAAAGGGTTCCCGGGAGGTGCATGCAGACAGGCGTAGGAGCTTGGGCAGTTTTGCACCATTTCCCACCATGGCTGGACTGATGAATGCTCTGGACACAGAGGTCCTCAGTGGCAGGTAAGAGGCAGGCTGCTTCTCCCACTGTGTGATCCCTGAGGCTCATGGTCTGCTCTACACACGTCCTGTGTGACTTATTACTGTGGTGGGAGGCTGCCTTTGATGCAGAGAGCTGTCACGCCAGGAACAGGCAGAGGATGCTGTAAGCCTGTGAGCCCCACAACCACACTGTGTCAGATACCTCAGGCCTGCCGCCACCACCGCACCTGCTCCTGGATGCCAACGATGCAACTTCACAACACTCCTGGCTTCAAACGGGGGTGACCACGGGAGAAAAGGATGAAGAGGGGCAGTTTCAGGAACTTGGCTGTCTTGTGTCACTGATCCCTTTCATTTGAATAAAGGCTGTGTTCCCGACAAATGCCAGAGGGGGCGCTCCCTCCTCTTCCCAGACACCTTGCAGCAGAGGTGCTCATGGGTAATGTACAAATAGAGATCACTCGTTCGCAAGAACCTGCAGCGGTGTCATGGCTGCCGCGTGGGTGGTGAGCCGGAAATGAGGACGCAGACTCATGGCACCTGTGCTGAGGATTCAACCGTCAGACAGAGCAACATAAAAAAGAAAAAAAACCAGTGCTCACTCATTCCAGACGCTACCACACAAAGACAGTGTGGCGTGGTGGGATGCTCAGAGCAGCACCCAGAGACCCGTCACACTACAGGGACCCTTGCTGTCTTCCTTCCCACGGAGAAACAACTCTGCTGGCTGTGAGCAGGTGCTTCTTGGGAACCTGAGCGCAGGTAACCTACCCTCACAGATGCCCCTTGTGTCAGCATTCTGTCATTGTGACAAAATATCTGAGACAACCAACTTATAGAAAGGAAAGGACAGTTTAGTCTCCGTTTGGGGCATTTCAGTGCATAGTCCTGCAGGCAGTGCATCATGGCAAGGAGGACACAGCAGAGCAAAGCCACTGGCCTTGTTAGTGGCATAATAAGGTCTTATTTCCTCCTTCTAAGATGCTTCCCAATGCCTTAGGGACTCCCAATAGGCCCTGTTTCTCAAAGGTCCCACCATCTCACAGGGAATCAGCCTCAACCCATGGGCTTTGCAGACATCCCAGATGCAAACTGAGTCAGCCATGAGGACTCACGTTGGCCTGCCAGGGCCTTTCCTATGGGTCAGGACTGCCCACTTCTCCTCCTATTACTGAATTCTGAAGTCACTCTAGCATCTCTGGGGATACCCTCCTAGCCCTGTTCCATCAGCTTGGATGTGAAGAACATGCCCTTCTTGCTTCAAGGGGACCTTGGTGGACTACTCTTCTGACTGGCAGAGACCTTTACCCCTGACGCTCCCAGAGCTAGATGCCAGGCCCACTTCCTACCATTAGATATCTTATTCTCATTGAAAATTCTTGAATATAAATCACAGTGTCACAAGTCTGGAGATTGTCATGGGGATCTGAGAAACCTCCATTAAAATCTTGGCTTAAGCATTTAAGAGGTGGAGACAGGAAGATTGCCATGAGTTTGAGGATAGCCTGGGTTACATAGGGGGTTAGAGTGAGATCTTATCTCAAATAAAAAAGAGAAAAGAAGGAAAAGGTTTTCTCTAAAGTTCCCTGAGGGTAACACCAGAGAAACTTTGGAGCAAAGAACATTAATACTGCCTAGAGGCTGTACTGGATATATCCCCAGGAACATTGGGTCACCAATCCAATGTACACACTGAACACCAGCCCTCATACCTTCAGCCATGGCATTGGCAAACCATAAGGACAGACCCAGAACACTAGGGTCGGAATGATCAGTCCCAGGCTATCAGGAGGGTGTGCCACCCCAGGATCTCAGAACGCAAAATGATGACAGTTTCCAAAATCCATGAGGACACCAAGTCTGGTGGACGGCCTGCTAGATGCCACATCTGTCTCCTTACCCGTGTGGAACATATTGCTAGATGTGGCCTCAACAGAGTTCTGAACAGAGAGCAGTGAGAGGTGGGAAGGCAGGAGTGGGAAGAGAGATGCCCTCAGATTCACCCAGGAAGGTCACTGAGACCTCTGTGGAAATGGTTCAAGGGACACATAGGGACTTGCCTATTGACAAGGCAACATAATTACAGATCAGTATTCTGCCTGCCTTCCAGAGGTATCTGAATAATTGGCCCCATCCCAGCCAGCCCATGGAAGGGAAGTTCTGAACAAGGAAGGAAGCCGCATGGAAGGTCCTGTGGAGGGTCTGTGGCCTTGTCATGCCCTGAACAGTACAGGGTAGTTGAAGGTACATGGGCCAAATAAAGTAACCTGGTATCAGTGTGGATGTCTGCAGACTGCTCGGTCCACTGGCCATATCGTATAATATCCAGTGTTGAGTGGCTACAGAAGGCGGCACACAAGATAAAGGGAATCATGGATGAGGACCCTGCTGTGCTCTGCAACAGCAGGTGATGGACAGGCCAGAGGGGCTGTGGCACTGCAAGGAATTGTGGGGATGATGGGAGGGGTGGGCACTGGAGCCGTGGAAAGGAGTGAGATGGCATCACAGAAGTACAGCCCAGGCTCCCAGGAGGAGCATCCTTCCCATACACAGGACAGCCAGTTTTCTCTCTCTGGATGGACACACCCTCAGAGACACCACCCTTTCCAGAGTTCTCGCTATACTTCCAAAAAGTAAGAAAGCAAAAGAACTGAACCAGGGATGGTGCCTCAGTTCCGGTTTCTGATGCTGTGACAAAACACCACGACCAAAAGCAACTCGGGGAGGAAAGGTTTATTTTAGCTTATGCCTCTTGGTCACACGGAGGCAGGCAGGAGCTGAGGCAGAAGCCAGGGCGGTGCTGCTTACTGGCTTGCTCCCTATGGCTTGCTCAGCCTGCTTTCTTCTGTATCTCAGGACCTCCTGCCTAGAGGAGGTGCCACCCACCGTGAGAAGGGCCCTCCTGCATAAATGATCGATCAAGAAAACGCTCCACAGTCTTGACTACAGACAATCTAATGGAGGAATTTTTCTTAATTGAGGTTCCTCTTCTCAAATAACTACAGCTTATGTGAAGTTGGAAAAACAAAACAAAACAACAAACAAATGAACAAACAAAAAGGCCAGGACACTGTGATAGTGTGCCTCTCTCTCTCTCTCTCTCTCTCTCTCTCTCTGTGTGTGTGTGTGTGTGTGTGCTCTGACATGTGGAAGCTGGTTCTCTCCTTCCACCTTCAAGTGGGTTCTAGGGATTTAACTTAGGTGTCAAACATGCATGGCAGGTTTTTACCCTCTGAGCCATCTCACCACCCCATATGGTTTCTATCTTTCCTTGTATATACAAATTTTCATTTTTGAGCCATGCTAACATCTTATATAATTAAGACATCAAAAACAAGCTGAACAAAGCAAACAGACAAAATGTCCAACCCCTAAATAATGAAAAACAACTGAGGTATCAGCCATACTTAAATGACTAAAGACTAGTTCAGTGGTGGGATATTTTCCCAGCACGTGCCAGGCCCTGGGTTCCATTCCCACCACCATCAAGATTCCCACAATATATGAGGCATACTTGGGATGAAAAGCAATCATTTGGATAACTTTATTACACACACACACACACACACACACACACACACACACACACACGCCTACCTTCTGAGGGAATTAGTAAAAATTTAAAGAGAATGACAAAGAAATATTAGCATTTAGCATTTAGCTATCTGGCATGGCTCTCTAGAAACTATTATGGGTCTGTTGAAGAATAAAATAAATAATGTGGATACCTGTGATGGCTGGGCTTGATTGTCAACTTGACTACATGTAGAATTATGATGGTGATGATGATGGAGCGTGTGTGTGTGTGTGTGTGTGTGTGTGTGTGTGTGTGTGGCAGTGGGGAATGTGTATGTCATGATCACATACAGAGGTCTGATGACGATTCATTTCTCTCCTTCTACCTCTATGTGGAAGATCACACATGAAGTAAACAACAGAGGAAAGAAGCCCAGACAGCCAGGTCCAGGCTTGGACAGGGTGCTCTAACTCTTCCAGAAGAGGAATGTTAATGTAGGGGAGAAAGACTGAACAGAGAGCACAGGCCAGGAGAAAAGAAAGCTCTGGGACAGCAGGCCGGCTCCAACATGAGGCAGGTCAGAGCATGCTGTAGAGGAAGAAAACCTGTGTTATTCTAACCCCTGCAGTGTCCTGGGAATGTATCTAAACACAGATCCACCCAATACCAACCCTCAAAACAATAACAAAAGTCTCAACAGCTGCCTTCTTTGTTACACTGTTGAGACTCGGTGCAAGAGTGCTAGGAGATGCCTACAACCCTGAAGTCTGCTGCCATCGAATACCTACAAGCTCAGAGGCAGAGTCCAATCCCCAATGCAAAGGATGCAAACTGAGTGTGTTCCCTCATTTCCCCCGCTTGTTTCAAAGCGGTTTGTAATTGAGTATTGACACATTCTTACACAGTATACTCTCACACTAAAAGTGTGTACAGGACTGGAGTATAGCTGCATAGTAAAATGCAAACGTATTGATTCTGACTTACATGTTGGAAGATTTGTAGGACTTTCTATATGTTATTGAAACTCATGGGTGCTTGTGTCCTTCTCGGAAGTGGGGTGAGGCTCACCTGTGTAAAAATGTGCTTGCATCTGAGAGCACACAGAAATCAATGTGGACAGGATTTGGCAAAGTCAGGTTCTGTGAGGCATGCCTCTCTCATGGTACTCCCTCCCCACAGATGCAGTGGGCTCCAGGAGGCCAGGTTCATGTAGACTCAAGCTGTGCACCCTGCTTTCCAGGGCAGGCCAGGATTCCCCACATACGTTCTGTGTATTCAACCACAGTTAGCATGCTATGTGACATCAGAGATTTTTTTGCTTGAAGAAACCTGACAGCCCAGAAAACAAATCAAGCCTGGATTCCAAGATGTCAGAAATAAGCTTCCTCTATTATGAATTATATAATTCACCCTCAAGGCATTTTTCATGTCACTTTTTCATAACTCGATAATCTATCACAGGAAGAAAAACTTTTAGCGTTATAAGTACTGTTGAGTAATACAGACTTCGGGAGATTAGCGTGATGCCATAAAACGATTTTGTGTCTCAGACTTCAGTAGAAGAATCCATCTTACCCACCTATGAGCATGTTCCTCAGAATGTTGCCTCTCGCTGTCCAGCATGGAAATAAAAAGCAGCTGAAAATGAAAAGCTAAAACATACAAATGTCTGCATTTCCATCTCAATAGCCTTAGCCATTCCTGGCCGTCCTTTCTTTGAAATGGACCAGTTACAAGGGACTGCTTATTAGGCATTTGTATTCCACTGGGTAATTTTGTCAAATTGATTTTTGTAACAAGTGACATATGGTGCCTACACTCGGGCAGATAATTGCTGTAAGCCCCAAGTGAACCAGATAAAAAGA